GTTTATATACATTGCATGTCTGTAAATCACATCTTGCAGCAGTTGTTAGTGACTCATTAGCAAGATGATTGGAGACTAAGTACACACACACACACACTTTCTCTTTCACTACACACTGATAAATACATCAATATAATTTGCTTAATTTATTCCTGTGTTGTTCTTGATGGAGATATTCTCCATCACTTCCTGCTTCCTGTTCAACTCTGTTCATTAAATTTCAGGATTGTATTTTCTAAAATTGAAAAAAAAAGAAAGAAAACAGGGTATGAGTGGGCGTGTGCGTGTTCATGTGGGCATTCGAGGGCATTATTACCAATGACTTTCTATCTGACCTTGATTTACACATTCATGCATTTTACATTTTATTTGTAAGGGTCGGTAGGTTTTCCAGGATGGGGAAGTCTTCAGGACAGAGCAGTTTATGTTTAAAAAAAAAAAAAACTGCATTTTTTTGTCCTAATAACTTCGAGAGAAAAAAGAGAGGCTGGTTAGGGAGCAATTGTTTATAGTGTTCCACAATGTTAAATAACTATAAATGGTTAAAAAGTTATTTTTTAAAAAAAATGTAAATTTGCAATTGTTGTGAATTTGCTTTGGTGTAAGAGGAATAAAATGTTTTCAGGATGCTGTTAAGGGAAAATAAAGCACTTCTGGGTGGTAACAGTGGCATCGTCACACCATCATGTTGTTGATTATTTTCCTCTAACTGCACAACACAGACTGGTTTATTCCTTACAAATGGCATTCTGCAGAAAGAGTTTTGAAGCGAAGGTGGAATTAGTTATGAATATCTGATTAGTGACTGCAGCTTGGTTTGGAGATGAGTTCAGTGATTAAAAAACCCTAAGCCGTTTGTGAATTATAGACGTCGTTCTCGATGTAGATGGCGTTTTGAGATTTGTTGACTTGGTGTCTGTTATTCCGGCCAGATTGATCCTGTATTTCCAACAGCACTTCACTGTCAGCCAACCGGTTTCGAAGTTCTCTTAAATTATGCATGATTTATACACAATTTTTTTCAGTCCCTGACCTGGTCACGGAACGGTTCGCCTGCATCCTTTCAGACAGCGTGTATCGATTTTACCTGACCGTTCAACTTTTGGCCACTCAAAAACTCGCTGTGGGCAGTGGGAGCTCAGTGGTTAAGGTTCTGCGCTAGAGACCGGGAGGTTATGAGTTCAAATCCCAGAACTGTCAGAGAAACACTGTGGGGTAAACACAGAAGACCCTTAACCCTCAGCTCACAGCACTCAGGGTGGATTCTGTATCGGCTGTGAGCCGCTGTGGAATTCTAAATGACTAAAATAAGTGATATGGAGCCATTAGGATATCACATTACAATGAAGTGAATGAACTAAGAATTATTTATTATTATTTTATTATTAGTCATTATTAATGAATAGTTCATAAAAAATAAATAAATAATTATTAAAAACTATGAACAATTAAGATGATTGAATAGCTGTTTACGGCATCTGAAAAAAACTAACATTGGGGCAGTTTTACATTTGTGTGTGTGTATGTATATATATATATATATATATAATTATTTATAATATAAATTAAATAGCAAAAAATATATCAAATAAATAATTAACAATTATTGACAACTTCGATTACAATTAAAAGGATTCAGCAGCTCTTTCTTAAAAATGTTAGGCTTTTATTCAGAAAAGAAAGTGCTATTTATAATTATAATTTATAATTTATAGTAAATAAATCAGTATTAAAATTAAGAGGATTTAAGGGATCTGTTTAGGGGATCTGAAAAAAAAATGGTTAGAGGCAATTATAATGTAAAATGTTAAAAAAAAATTAAAAATTATTTTTAAAAAAGTATATTTATTACATACAAAAAAATATATTTGCAAACTTCTTAATTCAACAATTATTTTTTTTTGGTTTTATTTTTATTTATTATTTTATTAATATCGTAACATACATGATTTGGTCTTTTTTTGTTGTTGTTTTTTTTTTGTTTTTTTTTTACTTGTAATAATGAAGAAACACCTGAAAAGGCAAATATATTTACACACATGTACCCTATATAGTGTATATATACAGTATGTATTTAGAGATAAATATTTAGATGTTAGCGCTATTACCATTATTACATACATGTAATAGATCTGTCATGCCCTAAGCTGGGAGTGTGCGCGCGCGTGTGTGTGTGTGTGTTTCTGTGCTCTTGGACGGTCTGTGGCATTCTGTGGCGTTCAGTGCTCACTCCTGCCCCCTAGCTGTAATAAGAGGTGATACAGAGCTCATTAGTGACTGCAGTTAAGATGCATGAAGACAAGAGAGAGACTGAGAGAAAACTGGAGAATGAAGTGAAAAGAGAGGCAGGCGGAGTAGTGCGTCCCTGTGGAGCTGCCCTGCCTCTATTATCCCTCTCTCCTTCTGTGAAAGCTCTTTACCAGAGAGGCGTATTAATCACTGCTCGCCGCTCCCTGACCCCATCTTTTAATTGCATCCAATTCTTCCCTTACACTCCATTTTTCTTTTCTTACACACACACACACACGCACACACATTCCACTTCTCCTACACACGTGTGCTTTATCATTCATTTTTTAGGCAGCTATGAGACAAAGATGGAGAACCTGTCTCCCTTTGCATCTCTTTCTTCAAGTGTTAAGCCTTCATTAGGACTGAGAGGCACAGAGGCCACGCCTCCTTCACAAAGACTGAGAGGCACAGAGGCCACACCTCCTTTATTAAGACTGAGAGACACAGAGGCCACGCCTTCATTAGACTGAGAGACACAGAGGCCACGCCTCCTTCACTAATACTGAGAGGCACAGAGGCCACACCTCCTTTATTAAGACTGAGAGACACAGAGGCCACGCTTTCATTAGACTGAGAGACACAGAGGCCACGCCTCCTTCACTAATACTGAGAGGCACAGAGGCCACGCCTTCATTAACACTGAGAGGCACAGAGGCCACGCCTCCTTCACTAACACTGAGAGGCACAGAGGCCACGCCTCCTTCACTAACACTGAGAGGCACAGAGGCCACGCCTCCTTCACTAACACTGAGAGGCACAGAGGCCACGCCTCCTTCACTAACACTGAGAGGCACAGAGGCCACGCCTCCTTCACTAAGACTGAGAGGCACAGAGGCTTTTGCTTTTTTTCTTCTCCCTCTCTTAGAAGGAGAGGAAAAAAACTGACTAATTAGGCATATTTTCTACTTTAGAGATTAGAAATTTCCTTTTAAATTAGGTGTCTAGTTTTAGTTAGTGGTCTAGGTTTTAGGTTGCATGAAAATATATGCTGGGAGATAAACATTGTTTGGAATAAATAGTAACCTAGTGAGTGTGTTGTGGTCTTGATGACGTCATCATGTTTCTCATCTTCAGAGCATTCAACAGAACAGGAACTGGAAACACACACACACACACAAATAGATGAAGTTGGTTAACAATTTAGAAAACACTAAGATAAAATTGTGTGTGTGTGTGTATGTGATTTGGCTCCTGTACACTGCAATGCAGCAGCACCACACTGCCCTTTATAAAACAAATTTCAGTCCCTGCATGCTGAGATCGGGCCGCCAGCCCAGATGCCCGCAGTGCCAGTCGGCTGGCTGTGAGGTTTGTCGTCTCAGCCACATGTCCTCTGCCCATCTCACAGCATGCGCCAAGACAACGCAGTGTCATCGTCGGAAACGCACGAGAATTCACTCCGGCTCATGTAAAAAATGTTATGAGAAAGTGTAGTGCTTAGAACGAATGAAAAATGTCACGCTATAACAACCATACGAACCAACATCATGGGTTTTAGTATATTTTCGTGTAGGCATCTGTTCAAACCCCATCAAAACTAACTAATTAACTAACCATCTAATCACTCAATTAATCATTTAATCAGTTCAGCCAGCTGTTATTATTATTACAGTTAACCCACTATTTTAAATTAACAATTAAATAAAGAAATCCCTAAATCTTTATTTTTATTTAAGGACTTCTTCATCGTCCACTCTCAGACTCTCAGTTCACTTATAACCATTTCTTATTCAGTTTCTCTTTTTTTTTTTTAGAAAAAGAGTGTCCCCCAGAGTGTTTTATTCCTCTTATACCACAGTAAACTGTCAGTGCTTACTTACATCATAGCTCCGTTAAACACTCGTTCTCTCACCAGCCTCTCTCTCTTTCCTTTCTTAAACTTAATATGACAAAAAAACACAGCTTGTGATGTTACGGAAAAACCGCAAACCTTCAACTCCTCTGTGCCGAAGGGTCTGAAATGTTACAGATTTAAATGCTGACAGTGGAGATGTTTATTAAATGAGTCAACACCTTCTGACCAATCAGAATCCAGAATTCAACAGCACTGTGGTGGGATTAAGGTTAGCAGCAGAGATGTAGCTGCTAGAAGTAGCTTACAAATTAGACCATATCAAATCATAGAATTCCTGTAGTTATGACAGTGAACGTGATGTTTCTTCCACAGGAGATTAGCCTTAGCTTAACTTCAATGGTGTGTGTGTGTGTGTGTGTGTGTGTGTATAACACAGTGGGATGTCACTAATTGTTCGAAGGTATAGCAGGTCTTTAGCCAGAAAATGTGCTAAGTGAAAAGCAGTGAGTGGCATTAATAAGAAACAAAAAAATAACAACGGATCATCCATGTTACCTACTGCGTTTCCCCCGAGACGTCACACCTACACGCTAGGCATCCTGAATCGCAATAATTGCTCCTTGTTAGCAATCATGTCCACACAGTACACAGAGAACACAGCTAGATTGTTCTTGACAACATTTGAGTTTAGTAGGCTTCCCAAAAAAACAAATAAATAAATAAATGCAGTAACAAGCTATATTCCCTTGCTACAGAATAGCACAGGAATAGCAAGGCTACTTCAGTCATTAGCATCAACAGATTCGTTCAATTAATACAATTCGACCTGGCATATTTGGTGATGTTCATACATTAGCAGGCTTGTAACCCAAAAAAAAAGAAAGAAAGCAGAAGATCGAAATGTTGGCTGTTTACATCCGCCCTCATCTTACCTATTCACACTCTCAGAGAGATCCTCGAGACCTCAGAGGAGATGGTGAGATGAATGAAGGGTGTGTGTGTGTGCGTGGGAGGATGCTAATGACGACGTTTTGTCAGCTTCCCGCCCTGTGCGAGGTCTCCTGGTGTGTCAGAGCGTTAGAACAACGTGCTTATGATAGAGCATATGGTCAAAATGGTCTCACACTTGTAAAGTGGGAAAATCTCTTCATAATCTTTTCAAACTGTTGTGTGACACTGCGTTCGCTTGGCAGCCATTTTTTTTGGGCTCATACAGTAGCTATGATTCACTACATATTGGTCACTAGTTGGCATTCCCGAGGAGTTTATTTACCCAGTAGCACCAAGCTATCGTAATGACCTTCCGTACATCCCTGTATGGTTCAGCTAACGTTTCCTGTCAGATTAGAATACTTTAATGCAATCAGCATGCGAGTCGACCTTAAATTTACACTTTGTTACATAAGGAATAAAACACAACAGGGCATGCTTTTATTAAGAAAACAATCAATGCACGGGCAGTGTGATGCAATGTAATGCAAACTGGAAATTGCGTTAATTTCTCTTAAACTCCTTAATACCACAGCAATTTGTCAAAGAATACATTTTTAAAATCTATCAATAAATGAGAGGTCATACTTATCCGTTTATAGTTACATTTGATATTGTGGAAAGACCGACAAAACAAGTTATTTCCTGTCATTATTCCTAACAGCAGCTAGAAAACAGTTGTTCCTTCTCTTTTCTCTCTTTTGAAGTTAATAAGACCAAAAAAAAAACAAAAACGCAGCTTGTCGTGTTACCAAGAAAACAACCGTAAAGTCCTCTGTCCTGAAGATATTTTGGAAAGTTTTACGCTACAGCTTTTACAAGGCACTGACACTAGAGACTCCTTCCGTAAAATGTTAAATAAATGTCTCCTCACAGACAACCTCACCATGTCAACGCTGATACGTCTTTGTTAAATAACAACTTCTGAGTCTACTGTTAAACACCAGCCTATAAATATAGATTATGTGAAGAGTCTGCTGTACAAGTCGCCGTGTCAGTTGTTACTGCAGAAACAATAGTGTATTAGAACAAGTGTGTTATTATAAATGCTCTTCAGGTGGACAGGATCTTTTTTAAAATACAGATGGGATAAAACAGGGGTGCTCGTTATGTCAATCTCAAT